GTCTACAGGGACAGATCAAAGAAATTTCTGATTGGGGCTCACTGATAACACGAGCTAATAATTTTTCATGCTTTTTATGAACCATTCATAATACAATTACCCTCTAGTAAACCTTAACCACTTAGACCCTACACTTACTAAGTCAACTGTACCTCTAAAATACAACAGTGATGTTCACAATTCACAGCATAAAAGATATTGACATCAAAAAATCTTGCTCTGGTTTTAGCAGATTATAGATAATAATTATTAATGAACAGCAGCTGCTGAACCAGCTGTCTGAATTAACAAGACCCCCATATAGTGGGGGTTCATTGGGCTGCCGACTGCGTGATGCAGTGGTTTATTATTTTAGGAAGGATAGATTATAACAACACTTTTTACCGGCTTGAGTGTATAGTTACTCCTAGCCCGTGGAATGGGATAGAGATAGCCTTTTGGAGCAATATAAGAAATGATTGGCATTATTTTTAACTGGTACACTTTCAACAACGCACCCCCTTCCCCCATCCCTCTGCCACCAAATATAGCATGACAGTACTGACATGTCTTAAATCTGATCTGACAAGAAAATCCAGTGTTGTCAAAATGGGAAAGGGTCAATTTTGGTGGTTTAAATACTTTTTTAACAGTAATTTTCTGTTTATTAAAACTCAAAAAGCAAATTACTTCTGTCAGATATTGCATTTAAAGCCCTACTATAAACTGTCCAAGTGAATAGGTTTCTATTTAATAATAATAATAATAATCTTTATTGAGATAACTTTTTCAGATAAAAATATGGTTTTCAAAAAGGATCTCATAAAATTTTTAAAAATACGAAACACACACTACTCGCGAAGACGTTAAAAAGCTAAAATATGTATAAGCTTTTTAAATGTACAAGATATTAACTCAAATTCATTTAAATTACAAGTTTTAAGATTATGTTTTATTCTAGGGGCCGTTTAAAAATATTCAGATTCACGGATCATCCAGGATTACCTGGGTAAGGGAGTTAAAATCCCTGATGGCATGAAATGCAGTCCGTTGTGGGGGGGAGATCTACAAATAGCATATTCCTTTCTTGTAAGGAAAGACTTTTCACATGCAGGGAGAGAATTGCAACAAGTTAAAGCTTTCCCGTCGGGGACAGTGGGAAGGCACTGTTTCTGGAGCTCCTGCACAGGCTAACAACATCATTGAATACTGCATTTAGACAGTCATTTGGCTAGATATAGGGCCAATAGCTACATGCAATAATTTCGTGTTCATTCCAAACCAACTTGCGCTTATGTTCGCCAGACGACCTGACTTCTCCACGCAAAAATTGGCCCCTTTGAAGAGGGAATGGGACACACAAAGCCGTCTGTGAGTTCCGTCTGGGCAGCCCATTAAGGATTGATTGTGTGGTTTGACTCGTTAATGGGTCTCTTCTTGAATGCTGTTTCACAGCACCCATCGAGATGAAGAGAGGGAAACATATCCAGCCCACCAGCAACAAAATAATGTTATTATTACAACTGCTGGCTAGTTAGGAAAAGCAATCTTATTATGACACATAACAAGGAGTAATCGGAGCTTAGGAGAGTGCGTTCGATATGTTTTTTAGGCCTACAGGTAGCAGTTAAAAGGGAAGGGTGGTTGCGATATAGATAAATATGATTATGGCATCTTTTGAACGTAAGGGTTGCGTACAGCGAAACCTCCATTTAAACTGTTTATCATTATAAGAAGGTTTTGAAAAGATATCGTATTGTTCGCGCCCACCTCGAATAAGCGCCCATCCTAAAGGCAGAAAAAGTTAATAAGCGCCCAGCCTCGAACAAGCGCCCATCCCCTCCTCCTGCCAATCAAACTCAAATAAGCGCTCACCCCCACCCCAACCACTTAAGTGAACAAATTCTAATAAGGGACTTTCCTGTGGACGGAGTTTTCTTCAGAGTATTTTACAGAAACCTTGCTTTGTTACTTCTTCGCGTTTTGTTGCAAAAAGAAACATAGTTCACTTGCTGAAAATGGAGAAAATTTAATAAGCGCCCAGCCTCAAATAAGCGCCCACCTCGAGTAAGCGCCCACTCTCAAGGTCCAAAAATTTAATAAGCGCCCAGGGCGGTTAATCGAATAAATACGGTACCCGGGATTGTTTTTCTTTCTTCAAAAACATTTCTCCGGATAATTTTCTCTGTTATTCTTAAGAGCATCCAATCATCAACTTGTTGACAAAATGAATTAAATTGAATTTACTGTTATAAAAGCTTTCACATCTGAATTCAAACTTCGCACAAACCCTGTGAAGAGTGAGGAGAAACGGATGTTAGCCTTCAATGGAATGTGTGTGCGGCTCACGTCAATAACTTTTCCAGTAATTTGGTCGAGCGTGTTGATTTCAGTGACTCGAGAGTGGCGCTACTGTGGTCTGGGTTATAATAAATAAATAACAAAGAGTTAAAGTGTTCGTTTGTCCAGTGCCGAAAATATCACAAGTCATGATAAAATGCATGGCACCGCCGAGCTTCACATCTCGGTAGCTTTACTTTGTGGCACAACGGTTGCCGAGCTACACAACTCAGTAGATTTACTTTGTCACACATTGGCCGCCACAACTCGGTAAATTTACCTGGTACAATAGACTGCTTGCAGTCCTCCTTTTCTCTTTTAAATCCGTCTAGTTCTTATCTCATCCAGCGCGATTGCAAACCACGACGTTATTATTACTAAAAGGAATGAGATTTTTTCTTCTTGGGCTTACGCCCTCGTTTCTCGCGGCTCGCGGCTTTGCCGTTCGCGTGCAGTAACTTTGCACAGAAAAATAAGAGACCGCTCGCAGTCTACTGGTACAACGGCCGTCGAACTAAACCCGGTTGGATGCATGCACCAGGAGTCGCAAACATTTTCCAAAGACAGCGACGAACCATGCTGAAAAATATGAAGGCTTAATCCAAAAGTAAACTTTAACAGCAAACTTCTGAAAGATGAACGCTTTGGACGATTCAGCAAACACAGATCGATCTACGCTTTACGAAGATTCAGCAACTTTTTAAAAGATGAACGCTTTACGAAGAATATCAGACCTTAGAAAACCGCTTTGAAAGATGGACGCCGCGGACACAAGAATCACCACGTGAGTTAGCCCGTCAAAATGAGGCAAATCGTAAGCAAGCGCCTCAAAGCGAGGCAAATGTGTGTTGACGACGAAGATGCATTCTCAAACAAGACGCTACGGAGCGTACACTTCGGCGTCGTGGTTGTGGCACTAATTAATTGTAAATGCAGAGGAATAGTAAGAAATCAAATATGGTAAGAGTAAGGTGTTAATTTGTGAAATTATGGGATATTCTGAAAAGAGAAACATCCAAAAGGCCTACTTGCCAAAAACTAGCATTTCGGGACAAATTGTCTCCGAGATATTAGCCCAGTTATGCTCTGATGACTCCATACAAATCCTTTTAAAAAAACAATTCTCTATTTTTCTTAGTCACATCAGGCTTCAAAAACAGCATAGCAGTCTCATGTACTGATTAAAGATATGTAAGGCATGGGTAAGGAGTCAATTACGTTGAGCATGGAATTGGCTAAAACTCAAAGTCACGAGTTCGAATGTTTTGAGGATAATTATTCACTGACTATCAGTACGCAGGGATGTCGGATTAACACAAGGAAGTTTAACACCAAAGGAACATAGCCTTTACAGAGCTTTAAAACACAGCATTCACCAACACAAACTTGACTTGAACTTTGAGTAAAACTAAACAGCCTCTATCGATAATAACAAACTCTCACTTCAACTTCAGATATCTTACGGCTTCCACGAACTTGTAAACACAGAACCTGAAAATCAACCTTCGCCACACTTGACTAAACACAACAGTCCAGCTCGTGGGAAAAAACTTAGATCGTCAAAAGAACTCGCTTGGAACTTGTATACCGTTTGACATAAGGTTCTAGAAAATACTAAACACGCGAATAGTAGTAGCTTAGCTTTTCGACATATTTTATGATTTCAGTAACTGATGCAAATCTGCTGACTCATACTGAAATGTAAACATGCCCTAATTAATTATTCATGTAAAATCCAAAAACGTAGAGAACGTTCGAGAAAGTAACGCAACGCATGAAAGCAATTTTACTACGTAACACTCAACAAAGACAAAATGTCTATGTGCAGCATTTTGTAACTTTAAATTCATCGTAAAACAGTTCGAAAGGAGGGCTCACTCGTGAAATGTTTTTCAACACTCGAAGAGAAATTTCGTGTCTCTGAGCAGCCACGAAATATCCTCTATTTATTCCTCGAGCAATTAAAGACTAAACTCGAAGTAATGTCAAGATATCACGAAGTAGTCCGGTCTCATTTCATGAAATAGTTGAAACAAGCCGAAAAGTCACGAACTTGCACGCCCAATCTTGTCCCGAGACTAGTGCATAATTTCATAAATATTTTTCGTATCCCAAACTACCTTGGGTCGCAGTAGCGCAATCGGCTAATCCCTCAACTTAGAGTCTCCTCTGATCTGATGGGTCACACAGGTGGGTCGGTTCAAACCCCGGGGAAGCCAAAATAATAATTCCTTCTTCCTCGAAAAAGTTAAAGAATAAATCAAAGAAATCGAAGTGATCTCGAGATATCTCGAACTAATTCGGCTCTCACTTACAGACTTTGCTTGCCCAATCTTGTCAAAACTTTGATACGTTCCTGAGCGTCGCGAATCCTTTACTTCGCGCTCCGCCGAAGTAAAAAATCTCCCTTATTAATTGCACAGGACACCCAATAATGCACAGAACACCCAACATAAATTAGGGGTTGCGTTCTCGTACCTCGAACGCAACAACAAGTATTCTCAACTAACTTGGGAGGTTTATAGCACTTGACAATGCCATCACTTTGTTTTCTTAGACAAGGAAAATGTACAATAAAAGGAAAGTGCATAAAGATAATATTAACTACCCAAAGTTAAGTATCATGGACTAGTACCTCATCCAGGGGATAACAGCACCCTAAAAAAGTCACTGTGAAGAAGCTAGTAAATCAGCTGATTATTTTGTTTTGGTCTGGTTTTTTTATCATTACCTTGCCTGTGATCACTGTCCTTTGCAGTCTTGCAAAACTGCACAACCATGCCAGCAATAAACATGATTGCAATCAATGAAAACATCAGCCAAGTGTACCAACAGTGTGGCAAATCAGACTTGTCATGATGACCTACATGCACAAGATCCATTGAAAAGCACAGTTTCAGTTTCTGAATTACGAAACACTTACAAGATCGAAGCTTTTATAATTACTTTATCGTGGTGATGTGATGAGGTATATGACTTGTAAATGTGGTAAATGAGTTCCAGATGATACTTAAGTGAAGTTTTAGGAACAAGCCATTCGATCTTGGCTAATATAAATCCTCCCAAGTCATGACCAGCTAGACTTCAGCAGTGGTAGCAGGTTTTTATCAAACCAGCAAAGAAACTTTGTAATATTTCACATAGGCTCCACTTTTAGGCTTTGGCTTAAAATAATATTTTTGCCTAAATGTTGCCAGCTCACCAAAAATCTATTTAACCGAACAAATCAAAGTAAAGCTCATGCTTCAACCAGCCAATTTGCTCTAATTACCATTTGCCCATGGAATGGGCAAATGCGGACAAAAACCAGCACATGCTCAAAACAGAATGTTACAATTCTTATAAGGCTGCATATATTTTGTTATTATCTTTATAGTTTGCAAAGGTTTACAAAGTTGTTTTTGATAATAATGAAAGATCTTGCAATAATCCACCTTGCAGTTGGGAAACTACAAACTACTTTTTCTACCAAAAAAATATTTTTGAATGCAAAGACTTTGCAAAAAATGATTTGCACATGCTAAGTGAAACCCCCACACTGGGGACAACTCTATCACTATTTTAATGTTCAGTTTATTGTCTAATTAGACTGTTACCACGCAAGATGTTGACAGTGTAATAAAGGGCTTTGCAGTTCTCCACGAAGTAATCAACGCCATTGACAAACTTGAATGCTCCCACGAATGAAGTAGAGATGATTATTACAGCCTGTAAATAGACCATAAAAGGGATTTGGGCATCTGCAGCTAACAGCTGTAAATTGCAGTAAATTGTAAATAATTCCCCTAGGGGCTTATCATAGATAATTATTGACAACAAAGCTGTTCACGTGACCTTTGTGACACTGCCCGTGGTGCAGTTTCCAATCAATAAAATAATACGTATATATAATTTTGGCATTCTTTGGCCTGCTAAACAAATGATAATGGTTTTTTTTAAATTTTTGTTGTTCTTATTGTTGTTGACTATGTTTAAAGGTTACAAAATGCAAAAGGCATACCTTCTGAATGTAGAGAATAAGGATTCCTCCCACAATGGCAAATGCACTGAGAACACTGTAGGGTAGCCAATTGTGTTCAGACAAGTACAGTGAATGCTTGTAAAGGAGGGTCAGAAGAGCCATGCCAACAAACCATCCCATGCTTGCTCCTATAAACATAATATAAGCAACGAAATGCGCAGTTAGTACAACTCCTATGAAAGCGATGCTTGGTATTTACAGTTTATTTGAATTAACATTCTCCAAAAAAATTAAAGGTTCAAATATTAATGGCAGGATTCTTTCATTCAAATAGGAATCAATCTCAAAGACAATACTTTGAAAGGACAAAATATTTATCCTTTTGTATAATATGGTTAGTTTATTTTGTTTGTCGCACCAGAAGTCACTTGTTATTGTGATGTTACCTGGCTTGAAATTATTTCCCAGCTAGCTGCCGCGATTGAAATTTAAGTCTCATGAAATTGGTACTTGCATTAGTTACACCTACTAATGCTGACCATGATGTAGCTACAATGATATTTGTTATAATTACCAAGAAGAAAAAGCCCAACATAAAAAAGCACAGTGTTAACAGGCCAGCTATTACACCAAGTCCGACAGAGATGCCAAGAGATAATATCTGAAAAAAAAATTTTATAAGAAAATAATTCAAATTGTCAAGACATTCACTATGTGATGATACTCTGCAGGTACACTATACAGGACTAAATTAAGCCTGTTCACAGGGCTTCTGTCATGCACATTATGAATTAAAAAACACAGGGAATTTGTTTACCGCTACAACCAGGAGCAAAACTGTTGAAAAACTCTGAAGAAAAAACTACCTTTCTTGCTTCAAATCGCTGCTAGTCACAGGTCTGTGAGACATAATACTGACGTCCCTCCTCCTTTTCATTCAAAGTTGTTGCTCCAAGTTTTGAGCATGGTCTTGTATTGCTAGCAACTGTGATAAGAGGTGGAGGGGGGACATGGACAGGCCAAAATACCAAAAATACAATAAAGTGTCTCAGTTCTTTTGCAACTGGTTGTAGCGCAAGGTGGTGGGGATAGGCACATGAGAAAAAAAAATTGTGTGTGGACTTCTGTTTTAACAATTTACCATTCTGGCACACATCATGTAGTTTGCAGAGTTTGTCATCACCAGGGTGCAAAGAAAGTCAGTTTTACTGCTTGCCATTCGGGCAAGCTGTAGCTAGCATGCACTAGCCCAAAAGTAGCAAGTTCAATTAACTAACCCCAAAAATGTGTTGATGTGCAGGATTCATTACATAATACTTTTGCTGTAATTTGAATTCGTTAGAAAACTTCATTTGCCTGCATTTTGGGCAAGTTTATAACACGATTGACTAGCTCATTAGCAAAATCCACCAGCCCCGGGCTATTGGAAACTACTTTCTTTGCATGCTGATCACCTCTTGTCACTTGCAGCGTCACTTTCTATAATTATTTGCAAACAATAACAGCTCTTGACTTGTGATTATGCAAGGATTGCACTGCGATCCTGTCTTATATTGGGCTCAAATGTATTCACTACATAAAATGGAGAGCTTGCTTGACAACTCTTTGGTGAAATTTTCAAGAGGCTATTTATGTTTTCAAACAAGAGCAGCAGCAGGTTGTCTTGAGCTTCTTTCAGGCAGAAATCGGACCCCTAACTTACATTCGGCTACACCTAGGCAATAACGTCTCTTTTGCTATTCAGGATAGGGATGATTGTCTAGAATTACTATAAGACATGCAGCCACATGTTCTACAATAATCATGCAGATGGGTTGATTTGCTCCAGCTTTAGGCCTTTTTTCATTGGCTTTTCAGGGTTGAAGCAGTCTGTGTATAGACATACTTTGACAAAGACGCAATGTCTACAATCATTCTATTGAATTTCGGATCTTTTACTATGAATACATGAGGGATGTAAAGTGATACTTAAGCCTGGCTGAACAAGCAATTAAAATCTTCAATGTCATTACGTTGTCATTGGTCTAATTTAATTGGTATAGTGGATATGGAGATGACAATGATATGGATTTGACAGGGGGAGGGACTTAAAAACCTATTTATTCCCAAATATGTTCCCAGATGATGCTTTCTTCCTTTTAGTTCTCTCGCACTTCAAGTTTGTTCTGAGGCTCTACACTCACCCTGGTGCCCTCACTCTGCCCGTGCATGCACCAAATTACTGGTACTCAAATGTGGACAGGCTAATAATACAGGACATTTTAAGAAAATCCCTCACTTATCACTGAAAAAAACTTGATTTGCCCACTGTTTTTACATGTTGGAAGGTATAACATACCAGTCTATTCCAAAGCCGCCCATCTCCCCTGGGCAATACCCCAAGCATTTGACTCGAGGTTTGCTCCATACAGTGAGGAATTTGACCCAAAATGACGCCCGCCCAGTTGGCCATTTGATTTTGTGTCAAAAAGGTGTCAGCGCTGCCGGCAAAAAGACTTTTTAAAATTCTTTCCACACTCAGTATGTGTCCCGTGTTCATGGGCCTTTGCTCTTATATTCGCTGTTCTGTTGGAGCATTTGACAGCCTTTGAAAAAGCCCAGGCTTTCTGAAATGAACAATTTTATTGGAACGAACAAACCTCTGTAAGACAGCTTTCCAAGACTTTAGATATTTCGGTTGTGTTTAGTAGGACACTTACACTTAAATAAATGGTTTGACGAATGGGAAATTTGTAGCCTGCGTAGCTGGCGGTATTGTGTACTAGTCGAGTGAGATTTGGCATGAGCGGCGAAGCCGAGAGAAATACCTCGTCCCCACTCCTTTTTCTGGATCGCGGCCAAAACTTTAATCACACAATGCCGCCAGCTGCGCAGGCTAGGAAATTTGTTGAATAGTCGCTGCTGGATGGGGGATTTGACGCTTCTTGAAGCACTAGCTGATGGGGCATTGGACCATCTAAACTGCCAACATACCAAGGAATTTGATTAAAATTTTTGAAAAAAGTCAAATGCCTGGGGGTTCGCCTAAAAGGGGGGGGGGACGCATGGGCGGTATTGGAATTGACCTCAAGTGTAAAATGTCATTAATATTTTTAAGTTTTTTACCTGATCCTTACCTGATACTCAAGAACTGTTCCAGACAGCTCATCAGATAAATGTTCAGTACACATTATATAGCTGACGAAAAATGCGATCAGGAAACCAACAAGGAAAAGCACAAATTGGTGCAATCGGTACCCTGAAATAATACAAGTAAATATTAAACTATATCAAGTACCAGTAAATACATCAGGCCATCCTCTTTTTTTCTCTGTTTAGCGTCGTCCGACCGACCCGCAAATTTTTGGCATTAAAAAAAAAATAACAACAAAGTAACGATATAGTTGAACCATTTTTCACTTGAAATACGGTAATTGTTAAAATCTGAAAAATGAGAATAGTAACAGCACAGAGAAAAACAGGAACAAAAAAAGAAACATTTTTTACTGTATTTTGTTCGCTGTGGCTATATGGCCTGTATAACCGGTCAAGATATTCAAAAGACTAAATGACTGGCAGTCTGGTATTTTCAATAAATTTGACTTATCTATCCAAACTATCATGTGTCGATTAAGAAACGTCAAGCGATCCTGAAATGCTTTATATATCTCAAGTCTAGCGTTTGGTTTATGCTGGGCTCAAAAAACGAAACCTTAGAACGTTTTTCAGGTCGACTGCCGGTCAAGGTTTTTAAAACACTAAATGACCGGCAGTCCTATGTTCTCAATAAATTAGAAAAATCGAAAAAATCCATCTAATCTGAACTATTATATGTCACTTAAGAAAAGTCAAGCTAGCGATCCTGCTCCTGAAACACTTTATAGATCTCAAGTTTAGCGTTTGGTTTACGCTGTGCTCAGAAAACGAAACCATGTTTTGTGACACTTAGAACTTTTATCAGGTCGACTGCCGGTCAAGATTGTCAAAACACTAAATGACCGGCAGTCTACCCTGCTAGCAGAGTCGCTTCGATCTTTTCTAGTTAAGTCGGGAAAGGGGAAAGAGGAAAGAGGAAAGCGGAAAAAAGTTATAAGTGTCACAAAACATGGTTTCGTTTAATTTCTGAGCCCAGCGTAAACCAAACGCTAAACTTGAGATCTATAAAGCGTTTCAGGATCGCTTGACTTTTCTTAATCGACATATGATAGCTTAGATTAGATGGATTTTTTTCGATTTGTAAAATTTATTGCGAATATAGGACTGCCGGTCATTTAGTGTTTCAAAAACCTTGACCGGCAGTCGTCCTGAAAAAAGAATGTAAGTGTCACAAAACATGGTTTCGTTTACTGAGCCGAGCGTAAACCAAACGCTAGACTTGAGATGTATAAAGCATTTCAGGATCGCTTGACTTTTCTTAATCGACATATGATAGTTTGGATTGGTTGGGATTCTTAGATAAGTCAAATTTATTAAAAAATACCGGGCTGCCGGTCATTTAGTCAGGGGCACCCAACGAGAATATAGTTCAAAACCACGTAACATAGCATTGTTAAACGTATTTTAGTATTCAAACGGTAGATATAGGCATATTTTTATCCCCTAAAAACTTTTCATCTGTTCGGATTTCCTAGCTGAAAGTCTAGTGATCCGAAAATTATAGGGATAAAAATTTTCCTTCTCGAAAATTTCAGCCAGGAAAAGGCTCCCGAAAATTCTAGGTGGCCTTTTTTAGGGTCAAAATCCGTTAAAAATGGGTAATTATACCATTTTGTAGATGTTCGAAAATCCTAGGAGAGGTAGGCAAGCAAGAAATTTTACAACAACTGCTCCGAAAATTCTAGATCCCAAATCGTCTTCCGAACAGATATTTTCCCGAAAATTGCCGTTGGGTGCCCCTGATTTAGTGTTTTGAAACCCTTGACCGGTTACCGGCCATATAGCCACAGCATATTTTGTTAATCCAAAAATGTAAATGTTAACTTTTAACGTCATCCTGGGTTACCGGGGCCTCCTATTCCGAGACTTCTTGTGACTTTTTTTGTAGCTTTTTTGTTTTCAATCCGACTGACCGATCCAATATCAGGAAACGCATTCGAGGCTAAACAAAAAAAAAAGAGGTGATGGCCTCAGCTGAAAAAAAAAAAACTTAATAAAGGTTCATTCTCTTCATTCTCTTTTGGGAGAATGTGAGAGCTAGATTG